CTGTACGCGGCCTGCGCTCAGCGCTCTGCCTCTGCGCCTCTAGGATGCCTCCGCCAGGCAACGAATATGCCGCCGAGCAGCTGAAGAATGCCGGCAACAAGTGCTTCAAGAACGCCGACTATGAAGAGGCCGAGCGGCTGTACTCGCAGGCCATCCAGAAGAACTCGAGCAACCCGCTGCTGTTCACCAACCGCGCCAATGCCCGCCTGAAGCTGGAAAAATGGGAGGCCGTCATCGACGACTGCATCCGCAGCATCGAGCTGCTCAAGGACAACATGAAGGCCTTCTTCTACCTGGGTGCGTCATCGCTGGTCGCTGTAGTCAGAAGACTAACACTCTCCAGCACAGGCCCAGCTCAGCATCAACCACCCGAACGAAGCCCTCTCGAGCGCCCTCATGGCCTACGAGCTGTGCACCACCTCGGCCCAGCACACCTCCAACGCCGCCACCATCTCTGCCCTCGTCCTCAAGTGCAAAAAGGCCAAGTGGGACATCCGTGAGCGCGAGCGAATCCGGCGGCGCGGCGACTTGTTATCCGACCTGGAAGCCATGCTGGAGACCGAATGCAAGCGTGACATGGATGAAATAGACGCTCGCATTGAGAGCGGTGACGTCGGCCGGATAGACGGCCAGGAAGAGAAGCAGGAGCGCAAGGCCGAGTTTGAAAAGAAGCGCGACGACCTCCGGACTGCATTCGCCATCAGTGACCCGGAGCATCACCAGAAACGTGAAGTCCCAGACTATCTCACTGATCCCGTGACTTTCGAGCTTATGTCCGACCCGGTGGTGACAAAGAATGGCCGCTCGTACGAGCGCGCGACTCTCATTGAGCATCTAAAGCGCAGTCCAACGGACCCACTAACGAGAGAGACGTTGAACATTGCTGACCTGAGGCCGAACATCGCACTCAGGGAGGCCTGCATCGAATTCACGGAGCAGAATAGCGGTTGGGTTTATGAATGGTGAGCCAGCTCATTTGCTTCGGCCCCTTGTCAGGTAGGTACCAAGGGCTGGGTTGCTTGCGTATACAGACAGCGCACATGCTGACGTGAACTAGTGAGAAGGGCGAAGTCGATCGAGACGCGCGATGGGCCCACCTCTCGAGTACATAGAGGACGAGACAGTTTGCATATGCACGGCTGGAGTTTACCCCTCTTGAATTGCGCGCGCTATCACTTTCCTGCTAGTACTTCCAATATACCCACTCATCCTTTAACCTCTTCCATTTCATTATTCATCACCCTCGGAGTTCGGCCTGAAGAACACGCCGATATGACTGTTGGATGTCGCCAGTAGCTAATGCACGTCCAAGTCTAGCATCACACGCAATGTAGAGAGTCGCCAATTGGCATAGAGGCTAGGATCTAGAGATAGTTCCGAGCAAAGTCATCTTTAATCAGTAGCTTCACGTTCAGCATTAGGCTTGACTGACTAGGGCTCACATAAGTCCCAAGCTCATTGTCATGGTAGAATGTGCATTGCACGGTCAGTGATTCGTGATCGCTCGAAAACGTCAAGTTTCCTACTCTGGTCGAGCATGCCCGGGTAATGACATCTGCCGTCTACCGCTTACTTCTCTTTCCAGTAAACCGCTATATAAGACTCCTCACTCTCTGATCAATACTGCAGCGTTTTTCTTCCCTATAGTACTGCAACATGTCGTCTCGGCCTGATACCTGGCCTGATGCCACAGGAGAGCTTCTCCCAAACACACTGTTCAAGATAGCAGAGCAGTACCCTGATCTCGTATATGCCGAGTATTTCACCGATCCTATAGACATAGCCAAAGGCCACCGCAAGGTCACCTATCGAGACTTCGCCAACGCTGTTCATACAACAGCTTGGTGGATTGAGGAGAATTTGGGTAAGCCCAAGATACAAGATGGCAATGAGACCATGGTATATCTCGGGCCCAACGATTTGACCTATGGCATTCTCGTCATGGCCAGTATTGTTGTTGGATACAAGGTTCGTGTGCATGGCTTATTTGCTTGCAGAAGTTTCTGACCTGTGTATCTAGATGCTGTTTCCATCCCTGCGTTACGGCGCTGAAGCCATCGCCAAACTGATCGAACACGTCGACGGCAACATCATGCTATCTACTACTAACCCCTTCCCCGTCCACGCGGAAATCCTCGCTCGACGTCCAATGCGCACATATGTCCTCCCCTCTCTCCCCTCGCTTTACGCAACCAAATCCCCACACCACCCCTTCACCAAAACCTACGCTGAACACAAACACGAACATTTCGTCTGCCTCCACACATCCGGAACAACCGGCTTTCCCAAACCCATCCTCTGGACGCACGAGTTCGTCAACGCCAATTTCCAAGGCTACTATTTGCCGCCCACAAACGACGGGCGTGAGCTGACACATCCTTTTACCGGCACGTTGAATCGCATCATGGTGCCCTTTCCCGCATTTCACACCAGTGGCATAGTCATCCAGTGCTTCGTCGGGCTAGCTACCGGCTCAACGATATTGCTGCCTCCACCGGCGGATTCGCCTGGCGGTGTTGTTGACGTGATAGCAGACACATTAGACTACCTCGGATCGGGCCCCGACGCCATCACCACACTGACGCTCCCGCCGCCGCACATGGAATATCTAGCCCGCCACCCGGCGCTCCTATCCCGCATCAGCGCTCGAGTCGCTCGAGTCGGTTTCGGCGGCGGCGACATCAGTGCCTTAGCCGGCAACACCATCGCCGCGAAACTCCAGATCCTCAATGAATTCGGCTCGACGGAGAACGGGCTGTGGCCTGCTGTCACCAAGCCGCAAAACGCTCTATGGCACTACGCCTCCCTGCACCCCGCGCTCAACTTCCGCCTCGACCCCGTCAGCGAGTCGCCAGACGGCACTGTCTGCGAGGCGGTGCTGGTGAAGAATCCCGGCGCGTTCGCTCAGCCGCTGTTTACCATGTATCCGCACGAGACGGAGAGGAAAGTCGGCGATTTATTCATCCGTCACCCAGAGTATCCGCAGCTGTGGAGACATTACGGCCGCGCGGATGATTTGCTGAATTTCAGCACCTCGGAGACGTTTCACCCGGCTGCTGCGGAGCGGCGCATCGCGGGGCATGAGTGCGTGGAGGAGGTGTTGATGGTGGGCACGATGAGGCCGGTGGGCGCGTTGATTGTGCGGCTTGCGCAGGGGAAGGGCGTGGATGATTTGTGGAGTGTGGTTGAGGAAGTTAATCAGACGAGTCCGGTGTATGCGAGGGTCAGGAGGGATATGATTCTCGTTGTTACCGAGGCGTTTCCTACGACGGCGAAGGGGACGGTGCAGAAGAAAGCGACAGTGGACAAGTATAAGAAGGAGTTGGATGGGTTGTATGAGAAGGTGGGGGTGGTGGATGTTAGGATCGATATCCCCATGACACCTTGATAAGTTTCTCACACTTGATGTCGGCAGAATTCTCGTCCATATACTCCGAATGAGATGGGGATGAATAGGTAGCATAGATAGAATCAGAAAACTTTTGCAAACCCAGATAAGACGTTCTCACAGCAGTGTGTGGATATATCTAGGCTTCTTCATAAATTTATCCTCGTGCCCCTAAAACCTCGTCTAGATTCTCTCGTGTAGGTGAAGGAGCAGACATGCCTTTCGCCATCATCTTGTCAGTTTCCCATACAATCAAGCATTGCCGCTTAACTGCTGCTTCCACCCCGCCGGACACGTCCCCGTACACGCCAGCCCACTATCACTATTCATGTTACTACACAGCACCTTCACCACCCCGCCGCCAATCGGCTTGATATCAATATTCTTGAACTTAAACCCCGTACACGGCGTCTTCTTGGAGCAATATATACCCGCCGCGACATTATACCGACTCGTGCCCGTGACATTCTCCCACGTGACATCGCTAATCTGCAGCCTGCTCGCGTCACAGTTGGTGTACGAGTATATACACGGCGAGACGTAGATGGGCTGGTTGACATCGACGAAGTGGATGTTGCGGAAGGTGATGTTCCTCACGTGCCCGACGCCCGGATACGTCTTGATCCAGGCGGCGTTGGAGCTGTGGATCGCGGTGATGTCTTCGAACACGACGTTGTCCACGTAGTCGGGCACGGTGGTGGGGTTGCCGAGGGAGCCGATGACCATGGCGCCGGATTCGTGGCATGTGACGTTTTTGACGTGGATGTTGGTGCTGTTGCCTTTGATGGAGATGCAGTCCTGCAACGGGTTAGATGTGTGGTAGTGGTGGGGGGATATAAGGGGGGAACCTGCGTCGCCACACGTCACAACCCAGTTCTTGATGACGATGTCCTTTGAGTTCCAGCTGTCGAAGCCGTCGGTGTTGACTGTGCTCCATTGGGAGTTTGAGGTTGCGTTCATGTCGAGGTTGGTCATGGTGATGTTTTGCGAATGAGCGACGAAGGTGTGCCTGCACTGGATTAGCATATCCATCTGTGCTTCTATGTCCTTGTCTTACCAGAACTGCGGCTGCCTCCATGTGATGCCGTCGACCCATACATTCTTCGCATTCCACAGCGTCAGGCTAATCGGCCGGCCATTTTGATTGCTGTTGCCTTTGTTCTGATCATACCACTTCTGGCCGTTGCCGAAGAACAGCGCTTGACCGTGACCCTGCAAAGTAAAATTCTCTCCACCTATTCTCCAAGCAGTTGAGCGTGCAGAGTATGTCACACTGATGCTGTTCTTCAGCCAGTACTGGATGTCATCATTCCAGGTGAGTTTGCCACGGATAGAGATGTCACAGTTCTTGAGGTTGAGCACATCCATGACTTTGGCAATGGTGTAGTCGCCTGTTGTAACTTCAATCTGACCATTCTGGCCACACTGTTTGAATGCGTCCATGAGAGCAGGAGAGTCGTCTTTGGACCCGGACGGCGTGACGGTGCATAGACTGCCGTTCTTGGTCATGCCACCAAGTGCGGTAGCGGCTAAGAGCCATGTCTGGAGGAAGAGATGAACGATCATGATTGCAAGTATGGCAATGATGTAGGTACTAGGTAGATTCAAGACTTCTACCAAGGCAGATCGTCGAGTCTTATAAATGCTTGTGTTGCGGTAGTAACCTACCCCACAAAGTAAATAGGCATTTGAATGGGCGCCCTAACAGAGTCCAAGCATGCCGGTGGCAGGCGGAGGAAATCGCTATTGGTGCGTCTTGCTTCCGTACAGTTTTGCAGCGGAGAAACTCTGCACTTACGGAAGCGATTGGCGAGAAAGCAATCTATCTATACGAAGTGAATTCTATGGTGGAAGTTCAGGCGAGCTTGGCAACCCGGTAGTAGCGTAAGAAGTCTTTTGTGTTTGGGCAGGGTCATCTACGTATGTGGATGGTTAGTAGCCTATTCAAATGACACGGGCCACATAGACGTGGTTGAGGTATGGATGTCATGGCGCCTAAGATTAGGTCGCATTCGAGGAGAAGAGAAGGCATATTAGCATTAACAATACGTAGGGGGAGGCGATTCGTGTAGACATATTTTGCAATGAAGCGTCATTAGTGGAGGTTGAAAGAGAGTTGGCCTGGTAGGGTCTAAGGTGAAGCGCGCGATGACTAAGCAAGAACGCACGTCAGAGGTGCAGGGCTGGCCATGACAAGCTTCCAGGTTCAACATTCATCGCGCAGCCATTGACCGCCGTGCGCGCTGCACAAGACGCTCGCTACCATGCTCTCGGCCGCTAACATGCGCGCCCTTCGAGTGCGACCCTCGATGCTGCGTGTAGGCGCTTCTCGGAGCCTCACGAGACATGCCTCCACCGATGCCGTGATCGCTCCCCAAACCGCGTCCAACGTTCGCTCGGCCGGCACGCGCTCCAAGAACCTCATCTTCGGCACCGTCCTGACTCTCGGCCTCTCCTTCGGCTACCTCTACGTCACCGACACCCGCGCGAGCATCCACGAATGGCTCCTTGTACCGGCTCTGCGCCAGATATATCCCGATGGTGAAGACGCTCATCACGCGGGCACAGCCATGCTCAAAGCGTTGCACAGCTTCGGAATGAACCCCAGAGAACGAGGGCCTGGTGACTCTGCTGGTGACTTGGCAGTCGAGGTCTTTGGACACACGTTGGCGAACCCTATCGGAACCTCTGCTGGCATTGACAAGAATGCCGAGGTACCCACACCACTGTTCGAGCTGGGTCCGGCGATAGTCGAGGTTGGCGCAGTCACGTTGCTGCCGCAAGAAGGAAACCCGAAACCACGTGTGTTCAGGATCCCCAGCCAGAATGCGCTTATCAACCGCTACGGCTTCAACTCAGAAGGCGCCGAACTGGTAGCCACAAGGCTACGACAGCGTGTCAGGGAGTTTGCATACCACTCTGGTCTGGGCCTGGACGAAGAGGCCGAGCGCAAGGTGCTTGACGGCGAGGCTGGCGTACCACCAGGCTCGCTCAAGCAGGGCAGACTTATGGCAGTCCAGGTTGCGAAGAACAAGACAACATCCGAGAACGACATCGATGCTGTTGTGCGTGATTACGCAACTTCAGTCAGTCACGTCGGCAAGTATGCCGACATCCTGGTGGTCAACGTCTCCTCACCAAACACTCCCGGTCTCCGCACACTGCAGAATGTAGAGCCGCTCACACGCTTGCTTACCGGCGTTGTACAGGCTGTCAACAAGATCGATCGAAAGACCAAGCCCGCAATCATGGTCAAGGTCAGCCCAGATGAAGACTCAGAAGAGCAGGTCTCTGGCATCTGCGAGGCCGTTTGGGACTCGGGTGTTGACGGTGTCATTGTTGGAAACACGACCAAGAAGCGACCTGACCCGTTGCCAAAAGGCTACCTGCTCCCCGCCTCGGAAGCCCAGGTACTTCTCGAGCAGGGCGGATACTCGGGCCCGCAGTTGTTCGAACGCACCCTAGCCCTGGTGAGCAGGTACAGGAAAGCGCTGGATGAGGGTCCGAAATCTGTACCGTCACAGCAGGCTGATAGCGAAGGGCCAAACACAAGCATAATAGAAAAGCTGCAACCATCAAAGCAGACTGGCTCATCAAAGACCGAGACCACTGTCGAAGTCGGATCAGCTTCACCCGCACTCTCCTCCAACGTAGACGACCTACAAGAGTCCGCGCCAACACTTACCCTCCATTCAAAACCCGTCACAGCACCCGCACCCAAAAACTCTCAGAAAGTCATCTTTGCCACTGGAGGCATTACCAACGGACGACAAGCACGCGAGATCCTCGATGCCGGAGCTAGTGTTGCGCAAGTCTATACCGCGCTCATCTACGGTGGTGCAGGCACGATCAGCAGGATAAAGCAGGAGATGAGGGACGATGCGAAGAAGCAGACGACGGCTACTAAACGTTAGCGGGGATTGCGGTTGTATATGTACCAATAGACAAAGAATTACTTTATTTTGTTCAATCGTGTTGCATTTTGTAGCTAGTTCTTTGTTTTGTGTGAGGATGTGCTATCGGGCTCTCAGCTTCGCTTTGTCAAGCGAGGAGATAACGGTTGACCGTATAGCTCTCGCGATAAAGAGGTTCAGTGCCCGATGTTATAGTTTTCAGGAGTGTGGCCTACTGTATTCAGGCGTTGTCGATGGAACGACGCTCCACCACACTTCTAATGCTCAACAACACGCATATAAACATGGCCCGCCTCTACACGATCCATCTACCCTTGTCGAATGCCATTACGTCCATGAGCACTCTGGATCTTGAATGTCTGGCTTCATCAAAACGACTAATGTATTGCTCTCCCTGCTAAACAATTTATGAGCCTACGGAACTTTACGCGATTTTATTCTTGTAACGACGCGGTAGGCCTTTGCTTCATCGATCACTGCTCCCTGGACCGCCGCCCAACCTTGGATCTCCTACCGGTCCGCCCTGCGCTACTTGGCCGGGAGAGTTCGCTCCACCCATTGTATCGCTCTGTGGTCCACCCTGCATAGCAGGATAGTTGTACTGCGGTGCTTGTAGATTCTGCCCTTGTGGCTGTTGCATGGGATGGGCTTGCCCTGGTTGATTGTATGGCATGCCCATGTACGGCATGCCCATGTTCTGCGCCCCTATATTCGGTGCTCCCATGTTCGGTGCTCCCATGTTTTGCTGGGCTTGCGGATTGAAACCCATCTGAGGGACCTGTTGCATCGGGAAGTGATTTGGATTGTGCTGGCCTTGCTGGTTCTGCTGGCTATTTGCTTGTGGATACCCCTGAGGACCATCGTATCTGGCCATTCCAGGATTGCTAGCGTATCCGTGGCCAGGCGAATATGGCTGAGAATAGCTGGCTCTCATATTCGAACTGCCTCCACTCGTATAATTCTGGCCACCAAAAGATGTGAAGGGATCACCTTGAGCAGAAGACTGCGACTCGGACAATGAAGATACATGTCGGGCACCTGGGTCGTCACCTCTTGCTGAGAAACGGCTGGGCGTGGTCTGGAACGGAGTGTCCTTTTTCGATCTCAATGCATTGTCGTAAGCCCTCTGGTCACTCTGGGTGCCTCGAACATCTCCCAAGTATTGGCCGAAGTCAAGATATGCTTTGCGCACGGTTTCGAAGTACTTGAGCTGCAACTGGATGGTAGCATCCGATTTTATCTTAGCATCAATACCTCTGCCGTGCGCGTCGAATTCAGCCAAAGCCAGCGCAGTCTGACACAAATTTCGGATCTGTCGACCATTCCACCGATTGTATTTGAAGTTGTGGAAATGGTGTCCGGCAAAGCTCTCGATAGAGGAAGCATCATACGTGATTTTGCGACCTTGACGCCTGAAACGCTGCTCGATAAGGTCTAGATTGAGTGTGAAGACCTTCCGAGTCTTTGCTTCGTCCAGTTCGGGATAATACAAGCTCATGTGGATCCGAGAAGCAAATGCTTCATCGAAATCGCCAATACGATTCGTGGTTAAGAACAGTATCCCAGCGTAGTACTCTAATACGCGCAGAAACACTATATCATATCACGTTAGCATGCTCAGATAAGCCTAGTTGGTGTCCAGGGCCCTTACCGGCTACCAGGCCATTGCGCTCAAAATCCTTCCTCTCTCTCGCCGACAAGAAAACGTCTGCTTCATCAAGCAGCAGGATGCACCCCCAGCGACTTGCTAGGCTGAAATTTTTCTCCAGTTCGCCCTCAACATCCCGCGCAGTATTTCCAAGGTCGCCACATGTGATTTGGAACAACGGCTTCTGGAATCGCTCGGCCACTCCCTCTGCTGTAGTCGTTTTTCCTACACCGGGGGCACCATGCAACAATAGGATCAGGCCCTTACCTTTTCCCTTAACTATATCAGTTTGTTCGTTGGAATTAGATTTCCTGTCACGGAAATGCTGCGTGACAAGCGACTCAACCATATCGCGATGGCCATCAGGCAATGCGAGCTGGTCGAACGCTGAGAGCGTGAAATCTCGAGCGTCTTTGTTCTGATACCTCAGGAACGTTAGGTCCAGCTGTGCCCACTTTCGACTGCGCAATACAAATGCGAATACACGATACGTCATTACGACATACTCGTCTTCTGTTGGCTCATTCACTTGAGTCTCTTCTAGAGGCCGTGGAGATAACAGCAGAGACGGCGCTCCCAGGGAGCGGTCCGGCAGTAAGCTTTTGACGAAGTCCTCCGTGAGTCGTGAGTCAATGTACTTGTCGTCACCAACGCCTTGCCCTGCGCAACAAGCTGCAGAACACTTTTCATCGACGTCCCCTTTGTCCGGTGCGGTCCTCAGGCTATCGATTTTTGGTGTCCACTTTCTTCGTGCCTCATTTGCTAGAGCTTCACTGAAATCTACAACAACTTGACTGTCGATCTCGTCACGAGTATCGAGGGTGTATCCGGTATAGTACCTAGCAGCGGATTCAGTCAATGCTAATATTGGCCATGTTGACGGATCACTTACATAGGCCGAAATTTTGCCACATCAAGGAGCATCTTTCCCCGATCGATCAACTTTTCTCGAAACTTGGTATCCTTTGCGTATCTGAGAGGGTACACCGGAAGAGACCTGATGTCCCTCAATCCGCCATAAGGTTGAATCGTGAACTTGACTGAAACAGGGCCAAACTGCTTCCCATCGAAATCAATGTAAGCACAATGCACCTTAACAGGATCGTCTTCTTCTTCTTCTGCATCGTCCTCGTCGCTATCATCTGCCTTGCCGAACTTCCTGTAAGTCCACCGCAACCAAGGATCTTCGACCTTGTGTCGAGGTATTTCTATACGGACCACTCGATATCCTTGCTTTTCTCCCTGGTCCACAACCTCATTCCCAGGTTGGAACAAATGCCACAAGTCGTGGAAGAAGATCTTCAGACACTCTTTGCTAGCAATATATTTTGTTTTGGGTATAATTTCCGTATCCATGAACCTAACCAGAGAACGCAGATGCATCAGACTTGCCACTGAATTATGGCCGCTTCCATCTTCACTGACAGTTCTGCTTTGCTCTGTAGTCTGGTCGGGATGGAGTCGTGAATTTTCCGTTGCCTTGTGTGGGCCTAGTTGACGGTCGTCGCTGGCATCTTCAGCCTCACCAACATCACCAGCCTCTACTGCTCTGTCCTCTAAAGCAGCACCTTCTCCGGTCTTCATAGATGTAACCAATTTGCCTTCGATCACTTGAACCCGCTTAAATCGGGCCTCTATCTTTTCCAGATACTCCCTCAATTGCTTCTCGTAATAGATAAACTCGCGAAAAGGCCGCAGAAACACGTTGGAACCATCCAGACCGTTGGGATTCCATGTCAGGCGAGCGTCCAGTACCGCGATCAGTATACGGGCGAGTGGCTCAGAGTGTATCTTGATACGTTCAGGAAGCAATTCTTGGCTTGGTGAACCGTTCGGGAATCCATGATCCGTAGGGCGCTCAATTACACGAGCCATCGGTTCCCTCACGTGAACCTCAGCGCGATATGCGGAGGTATATATCGGTAGGATGATCTGCGGCTCTGGGTCACCAATGGCCGCTGTGAGAGGAAATAAGGCCGAGTTTTCGTATGATCCTTTGGGTTTGATGAAGTCCAACCAGCCCATCCAATCCATCTCGGCGGCTCTGCCTTCCATGTATGCCGTCGCACAGAGTTCCTCTAACAATTCCATCTTGTCGTCATTCAGCCGATCCTTTTTTATAGCCTCTTTCCTGCTTTCTTCTCGCTCTCGGCGAGCCTTCGTTGATAGCTCGAATTCACGGCGTGAGTGACCCATGAACCACATGACATGCTCGAGATACTCACGCGCTGACTTTCTGTGCAGGTCGAATTTCTCACCATGCTGATCCTCGAAATACTCCATGTCTCGCTCCCGTTCAAGCGACTCATCCAGCTTTGGCGGGTCAAACAGATCCACGAATCGGTCGATTTTGGTCTCAATGACCGCCAAACGTTCTTGGACATGCTGCGGATGTGGTTGACTATTATCAATTGGGATTTCTGTGTACTGGGGGGTATCCTGTGCCGCGACATTCAACGCTGGTGAGAATTTCTCATTCGAAACTTTCGTGTCGCTGTCGTTATCATCCGTAGGATTCCCGTTGGTCGCGTCCTCAACGCGGACGTTTGACGCCACGTCTGGCTGCGATACTAGAGTAGACTCCATGTGGTACGGAAAGGCGTTTCTGCTCAGCTGGTTGCGCTTGAATTATCAAGGGCTGATTATGCTTAGAGGGCTGAGATCAAGGTCGTCTTTAGCGGTGGAAATATAGCTTGCTTGTCCGTTCTGCAACTGCCAGGCGTGTACGCGCTGACCTTATATTCCCTAAATAGAGAGTGTATTGAGCACATTTCATGATTGGAGGGATTTGTCGTCCTAGTGCGTATATCTGTGCTCGTCTTACTGTGCATGCTGTTACGCACGATGTGCCGCCTAAGGATTGGGGTCCAAACATGCGGTCGATCATTGGCTCGTGGATGCCAAAGTAGCCCCGCTTGCTGCATAACCCTGGCAGAGAGGCCGCCTTTCAGCATACTATTACAAGAATGGCCACACATCATCGCACTGTGTTACGCGATGCTTATGCAGACTAATGACAGGTTACCGGCGATAGCGAGCGACAGAATGGTGGGGGCGCAATACTCCACTGGTCCATGTAAGTAGGCATCTATAGATATCTGCATCGCCGATCTCTTGAATACCCAGCAAGCCTATCCCCAGAGCCTCATCTTCCACCGAAGAAAGAAACAGCCGAACCCTTTGAGTGCACAGGATTATCCGATACTCGAATTCGAGCTCTCTATCTAGGTACAGTATCCGCTTGCGACCTATACTTGATTAAGCTTGACTGAACGTTCGTATCTCGATGTCGGGCCAAGCTCCAACCAACGGCGTACCTCCACCCATACAGCTTTGGACTCCAGCAGTTGACTTTGTTGAGAATCGAATGTGGCAATATCATCCTGCCTACAATGCTCAGAATCACAGGTATGATCCAATCCAAGCTCAGTTTGTCGCACTCGAGGCGGGTCTCTCAGCCTCGTCGTCAAACCTTCTTGCGACCAATGTACCAGCCTACTCTCAGCCGCGACCGGCGCCAGGAAATGTTCATGATATGGACCTCTGGGCTGTTGTATTTCCAGGAGCAATGTCCGAACTCAACACAACTCCGGCGCCTAAGCAAGGAGACCTGCAAAAATGGGGAATACGAACATGCTCAGATTGGCCAGAAGTACAGCGTAAGCTCGAAATGGCGCGAAGAGATTATGATCATTTACATGGTCAAAAGCATGTTGGCAAGTTCAGGCGAAAAATGCGCGATGTCATGGATAAAAGCAGTATACCTCTTCAGCAGATTGTTAAAGGTGTGCCCTCGGTTGATGCAGCATCTCCGATCGTCAGCGTCGCAAACGTTCTCCTAGATGTAAGTATACGATTTACATTGCATCGTCGCATAAGAGGACTAAAACAAGCTAGGCATATCGACAAGCAGTAGAAGTACGTGAAGCCGTCACCACAGGCTTCGACGATCTCCCGACATTCTTCGCTTCAGCAGACTTCTTTCTGAGCAACTACCCAGACGATGAGAACATCCAGCGGTCATCTGTCGCTTTCGTGCTTTCTGTGTTCAAGACTATTGAGGAAGCAATACTTTTTTACACAAGCAAACAAGGTGAGTAGTTCATAACACCTAGATTGGTTGCGGCAGATACATCGTTGAACGCCAACTATCGTGCCTCGCAAAGAATGGTTCTGACAATCCCGCAGTCAAGCGTGCAGGTTTTGCAATATTCACGGGGGAGCAGTACCAGCAGAATCTTACTCGGGCTCTGGGCGAGATGAAGGTATCTGCCGAAGCGTTCGTGAGTCAAGCAACAATGTCGTTGCACCATCGAGTCACTTCAGGTATGTGTCATGAGCCGAGTATATTCTCGCCCACCTTTGCAACATGTCAGTCTTGTTTCCACCTTTTCACTTATTAATATTGTCAAGCCAGCGAACAGAGTCGAACGTCTCATGCAGCCACAAAGCAAGACAATTGGTTGAGTCATCAAGCCCTTGGAGCGATCTTACAAGAAGAAAGAGTCGGTAGGAGCGAGCGAGCCTGGCTGGGAAACTTGCTTAATACGACACTGTATTTACTAGCGGAGAAAGAACGTATGTACTCGGATGCCATACAATTATCACGATCCCAGACTAACATATCCAACGACAACTGGCGGCCGCGATCACCGCTTCCATCCAGATCAGGAACACCGATGGCTATCGAACGGCAGTCTTGGACACCGCGCGATCTCTGGCTTCGAGTCGGAATACCCAATATTGATGAGACTGATCTGCAAAGGGTGCTCAATAGGGCCGCAGATATTGACTTCTCTGATCGCGGCCGTGCACAGCAGATGATTACCACTCAGCATTTCCGCCACTGGATGTTGAGTCAAAATTCCGCCAAGTTACTTGTCCATGGAGACTTCGAAAACGCAAGTAGGACATCGCCGTTCTCAGTCTTAGCCGCGACCGTTACTCAAGGCTTCAGATCTTCTCCCAGTATCATAAATTTGGTTTTCTTCTGCGGCCAACACCTGCTGGACGACGAGCATCACGGGGGCAATGCCATGATCCGTAGCCTGATTGCTCAGCTGTTACGGCAATACCCTTTCTCTACCATCGTCCCATTGCCAGACATGCTAATCGGAGACATCGATGCCGGGAACGTTAAGCAGCTATGCACACTTTTTACATACCTCATTCAACAGCTCTCTCCGCAAACATCGATCTTCTGCCTTATAGATAGCATCAACGAGTACGAACGAGAAGAATACATTCACGGCATGGATGATGTAGTCTTTGCATTGCTGGGCTTGGCAGATCGAAGCAGTAGAGCGAGTTTCAAGCTGTTGCTGCTTAGTCCGAGACCCACGGTGGAAGTGAGGAGGGCGTTTGATGGAGAGGACGGGATACTGTTGCACATGCAGCAGCTGCCGGTGATTGAGGACGTGGTGGGACCGGCGCAGCTTCAGGAGATGGTTGGGATGGGTTTCGAGGGTACGGACAGAGCGGGTTGAGGTATCGATATGACAGAATGTTTCATGTATTAAGTATTGGTACTTGTGTTGGTCATTTTTGTATTAGTCTTATCTGCAAAGGCACGTTATGTTGACATCGTTTCATCAACGTTCACAGAAGTACTTTTGCAGTCCTGTGCAAATCAGATACATCATTTGCTCGCGCATCCCCCCAGGCGCCGGAAAAGTTCTTGCCTTGCATCTCTCCCCACACGAAGATGCGAAGAGGTAGCCGATATAAAATATACAGGCTCCTCTGAAACTTTAAAATAAGTACACCTTGGAAGATGAGCTGAGTTGTATAGGTGCATAACAGATACCAATATGGCCGCTGTTTGGTGTCCCTCCTAACAAGCTCGTTCGTCGCGACTAAGTCGTGTCCGTCATTGCACGACTGAACAAGTAGACCTAATCTACATATAGTAGACGAATATGCAATGAGTGACACGAGACAGGAAACAGGAGCTCAATATGGGCATCTCGATCTCAACACCTCACGTTACATCTGCTGAATCTCCGAGAAATATAGCCAAATCGAACCCAAAGCGGATTATCGGCTGTAACCACCACGTACCACTCGCAGGCATTTCAGCCGTAGAATACCTCCAATGTAGACATTTCCGACGAACCTGCACACAAGCCCTTCCCAACATGGTCCACAAGGTGAAAAGTGACAAAGGCGTTGGGAGATTACGCAGGAGACTGAAGTTCGACGCCGTCACGGTAACCAAGCTCCAGTGCCGCAACACAACACAACATCCGCAAATTCTGGGTCCATCAACTCCCGCAGCGAATACTCCTACCCAGCGGAATCACATCATGCCCGTGAGCAACTCCTGCACACCACTTTCCGTTACACGGCACACCCCGATTAATATGACTTACCAGTGGACCACATCCAAGACCGCCGGCCTCGTCATAGGCATCCTCTTCCTTACCGCCTTGCTCACCGCGGCCATCCTCGTCTACCGCTACCGCGTGCGCACCACCAGCTCAAAGCGCGATCCCGAAAGCGCAGCTACTTCGCCAGAGCCCGAGGCCGAGCCGGAACATACCTACGCCCTCCCAGGTCCCATCCACGAGCCCGGCACCATTCGGCGCGCGACAGGCCAGCCGCAGACTTTCTACGACTGGGGTTCGGTCGAGCAATGCTCAGGCGGAACTTGAGCGTTTGCCTTCGTTGAAGAATGGACCTGGTTACGGTGCAGTCTCGTCCACGTACTCTCAACACACAACGTCAAGGGCAAATACGATGGTGAGGCCGACGACGAGGGATTCAGTGGGCGCTTCGAGCTTGAGGAAGGCGGTGTTGGGGGCTGGAGAGACCAGGGGAGTGAAGAGCATGGAGGCAGAGAAGAAAGAGGCCATGCTGAAGAAAGAAGAGATCAAGGATGCAGAGCAGAAGGCGAAGACTGAAGTGAAGACGACGGCGAAGACTAGGGGGTACTCGGGTGCTTGGCCTTGAGTTGTGAGAGAATCATGGAGCACTCAAGTGCAGAGGGAGAACTATATGCTGAAAGTTGGCAAGTCTGATACAATTATTGGATGCGGACATTTAGGACGCAGAATCCTGCTCACCTTTTCTTCAACGACGCAGCGACTACATCATACATAGGCCCAGTTCTACGTGTCGACCTGCTGCTTGACTATTGGACAGCATTGATTACACAACCATAGCAAAAGTTCACTTCAGATCATCAGCGATGGCGCTCTTCAAATAATTGTGCAGTAGTTGCAAGTGGTGCATGTCACGTCCGTATAACACAAGCGTATAGCCCACCACTTTGCATTGTGCCACAGGTATTGACCTGTACAAGTCGAGCTGGACCTGAATGAAGACAATTGCGCCCCTGGAGATTAGTAGTGACAGCCGAGACCACCACCCGACATCGCAGAGCATCACCATCATCACATATCAGGAGGGGAAATGGCAATCAAGCATCATCTTCGGGCCTTGCGGCACTCGGAATCAGCGACACCTGGTGGGGGGAGGAACCTGTTCATTGACTCCTAGTCATCATGCCGCCGTATATAGCCATAAAACCATGCCATAGTCGTGGCAGAAACCCTTTCCCAGACACCATGTTTTGAATGAATCGAGAAGGGAACAGAGACCGAGTTGCGCGTCTAAGTGCGGGCAGGGCGGTCGTTGAAGCGGCGGGGACGCTCGACAACTTGTTGCTGGGAGACTGCAATGACGTTTGTGGGGATGGAGTCAAACTGTGGCATGTTAGTGGTTGTTGGGACAGGGAACGAGCAATGAACGTACGCCGAGGCTCTTGAGGAGGTCCTTGGTCTCCTGGTCGACGTCGAGAGCACCAGACTCGCTGTTCTGGGTGAAGTCGAGGGCAGAGATCTCGGGGACGTATTGATCCTTGCGCTCACGCTCCTCTTCTTGGAGCTTGAAGGAGATACCGCGGACGGGACCACGCTGGATACGCTTCATCAAATGTGTTGTGTATCCGGCAATCTTGTTCCTGAGACGCTTGGAGGCAATGATGGCGATCTATTCCGTCGCGTCAGTTCCTTGTCCTGCTACAATCCGCATCTACGCATCCTCACCTCATCGCAGATCCTCTTGTTGGTCTCGAAGTCCAGCGACAACTTGGGGTAGTATCGCTCAATGATGACCTTGGCGGACTTCTTGACGGTCTTTGTTCGAACGCGACCCATTTTGGCGACTGTGTGTGTAGATGTCGGGTTGGTGGGAAGGTGGCTGTCGGGGTGGTTAGTCGGTCGTCGCTGGTGAAATCGCAGAAGTGGTGGGAGCCGAATTTCGAGTGCCAGCTCGCTTAGGCGGTGGGGCGCTAGTACTCTGTCAGACTAGCGCGACGTGAAAGTAGCGCGACTGAGCAACATCACGAGCCACGAACTTCAGAACATTGCACCCACAATCATGAGGAAGAGTTTTGAGAATTGAACCTGGTATCTTTCGCCCGCTAATCGACAGTCATATATGTATGGGTACAAAGGAAATATATAACAAGGAAATATATCACAAGGGAATGTATCGCAAGGGCTCGCCCCCAAAAGCTGCCCAAAATTATAACACAAATCTGCTCCCCATCGAAGACTGCGGTTATCGCAGATCAAACAGGGTTTACGAGACCGTGTCTCAATATCAAAAAGATTCGACCCACGCTAGTGACCTCCAGCGCCGTGGCCAGCAGGGTTGGGGAAGAAGAATGCGCACATGGCAATGATGATGTATGTCATCACGCAAAGAACACCCTCGAGGTAGTTGGACTTGCCATCGCGCAAGAAGGATCCAACGACCAGCACGGCGAGGATGAGAGCAACAGAGTCGAAGACGGAAAAGGCATAGGACATGTTGACGCCAATGCCCCAGCCAACCAGGACAGTGAGTGGGGCGTTGAGAAGCGCAGTCTGGATGGAAGCGCCCATGACGTGGGCCAGAGCCATGTTGATTTGGTTGTCGTAGGCCTCATCGATAGCGAGGAGGTGTTCTGTCAATCATTGTTAGTCGCGATAGAGAGTGACGTATTACGAGACATACCGGCAATCTTCTCTACAAGAGGAATGAGAATGAGACCAACGAAGGCGTCCTTGACACCGCGCTCGACAATATACGGGATTTGCTGAACCAAAGACACGGCAATCAAGGAGACACAGGCCAACGCAATGGCGAGGGCCACCACGACTTCGGTCAACGTGAGCTTGGGCTTGGCCAGTTCTTCATGGCGGTCGTTATCCTTGTGCTCGTCGGCTTCGTAGATCTCGTGGAGCAAGCCGTCGTGCGAGACGGTCTGGTATCCAATATAGATGAGGTATCCAACCAGCGAGATGATGGCCACGCCGCGCGAGATCAAGACGGCGTTGTGTTCAATCATACCAGGCACGATTTCGAAGTCGGCATTGTTGATAAGAGATTTGTAGAAGACGGCGGGAAGCACCAGACCCACTGTAGCTGATTAGCAAGGCTAATAAAGTGCAGATTCTTGATTGAAGACTCACTGGACGCGACAAGTAGGAGACCATTACCAGACTCAGAGACAGCCTCGTGGAACTCTTGGACTTTGTTTTTCAGACCACCTGCAACACATTAGCTGTAGTCACATGATTATCAAGGGTCATGCTTACCCGCGATGAAGCAGCAACCCAAGCACAGCAAGATGTTGGCCAAGATGGAACCGAGGATTGCAGCTTGGATGACCAGAACGTTCGAGTCACCAACCGAAGTCTTGAGCAGGACCATGAACAGGATGATTTCGACAACAGAACCGAAAGTTGTCTCCAGAACAACCGCAATGGACTTTTGAGGGATCTTGCGAGACAGCTCTTGGCCAGCGAAACCCAGCAGGTTGGCAGCGGGCAGCATGGCCATGTAGTTGGTGATGAAGATGGCCAGATGCCATTCGGGCTTTGCAAAGTGCTACACTTGTTAGCCTGGACTTCCTCTTGTTTCCCGAACCGGACGTACAAGAGCGATGGCCACTGGCACAATAGGCCACAGCATGTTGGTGACCATGGACAGTGTACTGGTACTCCGTCCGCTGATGACGAGGAACTTGATGGGGTTGAAGCCTCGCCTGCCACTCTCTCCATCCGGGTGCAGACCCTTAGTCACTGCATGTCCATTGTGGTTGTATTGCGGCAGCGACGCACGGCGGTCGCGCTTAGTAGCCTTTTCGGTCGTGTACTCGCGCGAGGAGCTGGTGTGGTCTCTCGACGAACGGCCGTAGGCATAGTCGCGAGAGGCCCTGGGGTAGTCCCGAGATGATCGTGACTGGCGGGCCATTTTGTGTCTGCGAAGTGAAGTTGATGGTGGAGGCAGAGTCGGGGTCAGTGATAGTTATATCGGGGCATTGACTGGGTGCGTGGAGAAGGGGGTTTGCAGTTTCAGGGCGCGCTTATGGACAGGCCTGCAGCGACTGTAGGCTGTGAAGCTTCTAAACTCAACGGACCGAGGGGAACGAGCGATTTACAGTCGGAGAGACTTTAGGGAGCAAGACGGTGAGTCTAGCCTGGCGGCGTCATGGCGGGCTGTCGCATCGTGCATTTCCTTGTTATTGCGAGGTGCAGGGAGGCGCGAACGTGCACCCGATGCGCGCTGGAAATTGTTGCACCGCCGCCGTTTTCAATTCGCCGGCCAAGTTCCATTGCAGCACAATCGCGCCCACATCAATCGTAGCACCGATCGTGATTCGTGAACAATGGCCACTTTCACGATCCAGGGACAATAGACGGAGTGCTTGTTCCTCCCGACACGTCACCAAGCATTCCTGGCGATGCTTGAAGCTCCTTGGCTGGCAGTTTCAGCTCCACATGCACGGTGATGTCACGGCCCGATGCCGTCTGGCTCCAGCGGCCAGCCCTTCTCTCCGCACTCGGTTCAGGGACAGATGTGCAGGAACCCTGTCTTGTCAGATTGACATCGTGTTTACTGTTGCGTGTCGGGTGAATGCAAATCAGTTCTCCTGACGAACAGGCTGCACTGTGGACCTGCAGTCTCAGTCAAGTACCACAAATTGGTCCCTACCACGCTCCAGACGATACTCCTGACGAAACGGACCGTTGACGAAACTCGATCAAATAACGCAGTCTGCTGCGCCACCGGCGCACGACGTGGCTGAATTGTACATCCAACCCTTCTTTCTGTGTTCGTCCGTAGACATAATGCATATGCATGCGTTTGTTTCTGTGCTGTCAGAGGCTGGTTTGAGCAGTCATCATTTTGTCAGTCTTCCCATGACTCCGAGAAATGAAGTGCACAGCACGAATATGCCCATGTCATTCTGGAGTAGGAACCTCGATAGCTCACTGGAACTGTACACAACAATGGACTTTTGGTATCCTGAACTATGGGCAACACATGATGCGTATCAGCAGGCCACAGCACGTGGATTGGCGTTATCTGAGGCCGGCGCGTGCGAGGCTGGGCGTGACTGGCGTCATGGCAACCTCGCGACTCATCCTTCAAACATCATCCCTCCATCTCAACTTCATCTGTCTGCATCAATTCCGCGTGCATCATGGTGTTCTTCTGTGGTTTTGCGCTATGCGCAGCTATTACCGGCGCTGGCGCGCTTCAGATTCCGCTGTTATCGTCATTCCAGAACCAGGCACCGCTTGGTCATCCTAGTGGAAGCAAGCCCCTGGTCAACTCTACCGAACTGCAGGAGCTCATCAGCGGAGATAGGCTTATGATCCGTGCCAACAAGCTTTATGAGATTGCGAAGCTGGGAGAGGAAGAGTACAACCACCCTACTAGGGTCATCGGAAGTGCAGGTATGCTCAGCCACGCGCTGTGATGGTGCCTGCCAAATGCTGATAACATAATTAGGTCACATCGGAACCCTATCCTACATCTACGAGGAGATCTTGAAGCTTGGAGACTACTATAGCATCTCCAACCAGACCTTCCCAGCTGTTTCTGGTAATGTTTTTGAGTCGCGTCTCGTTCTCGGCGACCAGGTCCCAAAGTCGGCTGCACCCATGGGCTTGACCCCACCAACCAAAGATAAGGAGCCTGTACATGGCGATCTCGTCCTAGTTGATAACGAGGGCTGTCAATCAACCGACTTTCCTGACTCTGTTGCTGGAAACATTGCATTCGTAAAGCGTGGTGTATGCCCATTTGGCACCAAGTCTGAGAATGCCGGACGCAAGGGTGCTATTGCTGCCATCGTGTATAACTACGAAAAAGATCCCGTCGCAGGTACCCTGGGAACTCCTTCCCCATACCATGTGGCCACTTTCGGCTTGTCCGGCGAAGAAGCAGACCCTGTGATCGAGAAGCTCAAGAAGGAGAAGAAGGTTGATGCCATCGCATACATCGATGCTGAAGTGAATCAAATCCAGACTGTCAACATCATCGCGCAAACCACAGAAGGAGATCCGGACAACTGCGTCATGCTCGGAGCTCACAGTGATAGCGTTGCAGAAGGTCCTGGCATCAACGACGATGGCTCCGGCTCCTTGTCCCTGATCGAAGTTGCTACCCAGCTTACAAAGTTCAATGTCAGCAACTGTGTTCGCTTTGCGTGGTGGGCCGGTGAGGAGGAGGGCTTGCTCGGATCTGACTACTATGTCTCCTCGCTGCCAGAAGAGGAGAATGCAAAGATCAGATTGTTCATGGACTACGACATGATGGCCAGTCCCAACTTTGCTTACCAGATCTACAACGCCACCAACGCCTTGAACCCGAATGGCTCTGAAGAGCTCCGCGATCTGTACATTGAGTGGTACAAGGACCAAGGTCTCAACTACACGTTCATTCCTTTCGATGGTCGCAGTGACTACGACGGGTTCATCCGCAACGGTATTCCAGGAGGTGGTATCGCGACAGGCGCAGAGGGTATCAAGACGAAGGAGGAGGTCGAGATGTTTGGCGGTAAAGCTGGCGAGTGGTACGACAACTGCTATCACCAACTTTGCGATGATGTCGGTAACGTGAACGTTACTTCGTGGATTGTGAACACAAAAGTATGTCCTTTTACTACTTCACGACCCTGATCTCCATCATGCTAATCAATTCCTAGCTCATTGCCCATTCGGTTGCAACATATGCGAAGTCCTTCAAGGGTTTCCCCAAGCGAACAAAGGACGTTGCAGCGAGCGCTTATGCGAAGGACACCAAGTATCACGGTTCAAGGCTGTTCATTTAGGTATAAATGTAGCCTGGATAGCTTTAATGCATTACCACAATTCCTATATCATGGCATGTTTGATCGCACACCTCCAGGCATCATTTCACGTTCGTTGACTGCGTTCATCTTGTCTCATACCCAGTCACCAACGGAGCACTAGCGTGTGCCAAGCCATCGTGGCCTACAAAATATGTTCCCCCCGCCCTCCTCTCTTCCATCCACACATCCTCAACCATGAAGGCCAACGGATTCGAAATGTTCGCCCTCATGCTCTGCTCGTGCCTCTTTGGCATCATCGGCTCTGCATACAAGATGGTTAGCAAACGCCTCTAGAATTTACTCTGCCTTCATCTGCTTACCACTTCGCTAGCACAACTTGGTCACGGCTCGTGAGATGATCCTCGTTGGAACGCTCTACATCACGGTCATCATCTTCGTGTACATCCAGTATGCCACTGAAGATGCGCTTGTGCGCCACCTCCGCCGTCACACGAACGAGGTGGAGCAACAGCAAGTGATCGACCTTCAAGAGTCCCATCGTCGGCGTTTGCTCCTCCTCAAGAACGCGCACACTGTGGAGAAGCGTCAGCTTCAAGCCAGCCTCGGGAGCGCTCACGCCCATTTCGACCGCCTCAACAATGATTACGAGTGGATGTCCAGCCAATATCAAGACCAGCTGCGCCTTGTCCAAGAGCAAGAAGACCGCATAGGCTACCTCGAGGGCAAGCTTCATGAGACCGGCCAGACGACTCCAACTACGCGACAGCCGTTCTCTGCGCCTCCGTCCCAGATTCGTTTTGCCAACCCGCCTCGTCGTCAACGCTCCTCTGGCGCACCGAGCCCTCTACACCAAGTAAATATGCTCCTCAGCAACCACAGTAACGCATTATACTAATTTGCACAGGTTATGAAGCCCGAGGAGACTGAGGCCGTGGCCGAGGCCGAGGTCGGCCAGAAGGCGTAGATACCAGAGCCTAAGCATACCCAACACTGCAGCATGACGCAGCGCGCTTGGAAGATGGAGATGGCGGACTCAGATGAATGAACGAAAGACTGAACGAGATTCACGTCCCTGGATCTTGAATACAAGACGCCGATAACACGTAGCAATTGATACATACTTGCTACCCTTACATGACCACAGTGACTGATTTGACGTGACTCTTGCCGTGCACCTGCTTGCTTTCCCCGCTTTAAAGAATCGCGCAGGTATACTGCAGATACTAGATATGCCGCTATTGCTCACCGCCGCTGTGTTTGTCCTCCCGCTTGCGTGCGCATCCACCAGCGCTGCACCCAATACTCCAGCCACGGCACCGAGATTCTACGACAATATCCGTGTTACTGCAGCTGAACTAGTGAAAAGCATCGATGCGCCGTGTCCGACAGGAGAATTCGTGATCCCCCGACTTGGTCGCTGGCCATCCTCTGGGCTCCGCTCACTCAGTGCATCGCAGTCTTTCGAACCGACGTCCTCCTCTAAGCTCCGCTCCCTCGACACATCGCAGCACTATAAACCGACACTCCCGCTTGCATCTGCATCAAAATCGACCCCTCCCACACTTATCTACGATTCGACTACAACGCAACCCGCCGAGCCAACCGCGTCGAAAACACCGACTGGCGATCCAGACAACAAACTTGGCGAGCACGAGCAGGCGGGCGCGATACTAGGGCTGTGGATACCAGTGGCAATATCTGTAGCTGTGTTTCTGGGCTGGCTGTGCTGGGAAGTGTGGAGGGACAGGGAGGAAATGACTTGGCTAGAGCAGCATTTGGACAGCGAGTCACTGTTAGACCATGGAAGACCCAGGCAGGAAGATATCGAGGCAGGGGATGTGACACGGAGATGAAGATACTTGGCGAGAGTTGCGTATCGCATGTACAAGCTGAGTGTGTATCGAAGCTATCTAGACTACTGTATGCATTCGTAAGCTACCATCAGACAAGCACTTCGTCCCTGCACGCTCGACTGAGAGCCTCGCATGAGCTCAGCGGTGCTTTAAGGGGCGCTTCAATCCCTTTACCAAGTGTCCACTGTCTGTCTTCTCTAGTTTCTTCCAGGAGAAGACCGAAGGCTCGGTTCGTATCCCCATCTTGCCCAGTGCGTTGTAGCAGCGAATCTTCCACTCATTCCGGCCGAGCTGCATTCTCTCTTATGCCGGACGCCAGCTCAACAAGGGACTGTTTTGAGGACAGACATCGTGTGGCAGCTTACCATAGCCGCAGTGACGCTCTTTGTGTGAAGCTTCTTCAGGCGCAGCGTCACCCTGCGGATGTTGATGGGCGTGTAAGTTGTTGGCACGAATCTATGCATAGATAGCGTGCCGAATCTCCAATGGTGCTTCAAGATCGAAGCATCTTGTGGACGTAATGCGGGCACCATGGCGGATACGTCGCAGTAGACTCGACGTAAGCCAAGGAAGATTAGCACGTAGAGCAGTCAAATTCCTAAGCCGTCAGGTGGTGGGGTGGGAGTTCTGGTAGCAAGTGTGGTCGATGGCTTCCGTATCAGTGTTGGGGTCGTTTATTTGGTTAGCGGAGCATACCAAGATGTTCCTTCACCAAGCCGTGGCAGCTAGGGAGCCTAGTGCAGATGCAATCATTGTTAAACGGCGCTGTACACAAGGTTCTGACCGTTGTAGCATTGCTGCCACTGTCGAACGCCTGCAGTTTGAGGCTTCCTTAGCTGCCGCAGCTTTGTTCCCTCCCCTGGCGTGACCAGATACATCATCTTCAACACCAAGGTTTACATAGATAGCATGGTACTGGTACATGATCTTCGTTGGCATCATGTGGTTCGAACAATGGTACCTTGGCTGAAAAAAGCTGCAAGCTTAAGACCGCGATCATTGAGTCGAATACTTGGCGCGTGAGATATCAGAGACATCATCCATATGCAGAAGAATAAAATTCGGGAGAAGCTGCAATGATCGCGTTGGGTTGGCAATTCGGTATGTAAGCATTGATCGTACAGCAAGATGCCGTGCATGCACCTCCCTATGGCTCGAATGATGAAGGAAGTAAATTAGGTACTGTTTGAAACCAAAACATTTGAGCGCGAGAAATGAGTGGTATTGTGCCCGCAGATAGATGGTGATACAAAAGCAAAAAATTGATTCGAAATGGATGGTGTTACAGGGATTCGACGGAGACGGATAGATGAAGTGGGGAATGCGGCAGCACGGAAATCATCAAGTCAATTCCTGCCTTCATCTGTACCTTCACCTACCCACCACCAGCGGTGCATAAGCCAATGTTGGCGAGGTCTGTTTGGCTGCGTGAGGGTGATGTGTCGAGACATGTGCGATGGCATGACGTTCACGCTCGGTCCCTCGCGAGAACATGTGACCGGCCAATGCTCCGCCAAGATGCAACTAGCTGCGCTAGTTACGCGAGCGTGAATGTTTTTACCTGCACCTCGACTTCGGAGCTTCCCAACCACCCCGCAGCAATCAACGTGATCACCGACTTCGGCAGCACAACAACATCGACTTCCATCAAGCACTGCACCTTCTCCATCACCTTCAGTAACTTGCAGCCGTGTTCGAGGTTATTGGACAGGTATATAAGTCGCGTTGCACAAGCCGAGCATCATGACGCCTGCGCCAATCGCCACGGGCGCTGTTGCCTCACCCACCCCGCCTCAACAACAGAAACCTACAACTCGTATGCCAACATTCATTATCATTCACTAGTACTGAACTAATATTATCCAGCTGCTACCCCTGTTCCCAAGAACTTTGACGACATCTTTCATGCCAAATTCATGTACATTATTCAGGAGTGGAAGAATGATCCCCAACGAGGCCAGCTAACCCAACGTGACCGCAAGGCCTTCATTGAGTCCGCTTATGTAGAGACCGATGAGTCTTACTTCAACCACCGCCACCTGTCTGATCAGGAGATCAAGCTGCGTGCCCTTACCAAGGTCTTCTACAAGGTTCTTGCTGAAGAGCCATGGTCTGAGGACTGGATCCGCGCCCCCGACGTCGAGCGTAAGCTTTCCAAATTCGAGATGAACAAGGACACTATGCCACTCGCTATCCAACATGGTCTCCTTACCCCACGTGACGCTGTAAAAGCTGCGCGTGAAGCTGCTGTCGAGAACGACAAGATCCTCAAGGAGAACCCCAAGAAGACTGCCAAGGAGCTCAACATCAAGCGCGGACCCTACGATGAGATCGAGATTGTCTATATTGCTGGTACTGTATCCTCCACAGCCACCAACCGCATCGATCGTGACAACATATACCCGGTATCCGTCTCCTCTGTTGCCAATGTCCTCCAGAACCACATCTGTCGTGACATGGTACGTCCCTTCACCATGGCTGAGCGCTTCCTCAACTGCACCGAGACCAAGGAGCTCGAGAAGATGCGCAAGTTCGCCTGCGATGTCTGCGATTTTGCGCCTCACCTTCTCGATAACGACAACGTCAGCCTTCTCGTGGTGCTCCTTATCCTGTCCCGCTCTGACTGCTGCCGGCGCTTCGAAAACAACGGCATCCGTATCGAGGGCTCCACCATCTCTCACCGCAAGGCCGAGTGCATGAAGAACAAGATGGGCTGGAGGACGTCTGAGGAGAAGAAACCCTACGATAACTTCGCCAACGAATTCCAAGGCCGCGTCAGGAACGCTTGCTCACCTGCTCCTCGGGCCGGGCGCATGAGTGGCAAGAAGCCCCAGCGCAAGTCATCGACCCCGATTGGCACCCCGGGAGGCTACCCGTCGCCACATATGGGGTACATGGCTCCTCCCCAAGTTCTCTCTCCATCCACCGCTCACGGCGTGAACTCCAACATCAACATTGCTGGTCCATCGATGCAGTCCATCTACCCCCAGCCGTCTCCTGTCGCTGCTCCGCCAGGCCCATCTGGTCCGTCACCGCCTGTTTCGCGCATCTCCACTGGCGCAGAAAACAAGGAAAACAACATGGTTGAGCCCATGGACCTCTCGTAGCCACCGGCATTTTTCTCTTCTCTTTTCTTGCTCGACCATCTCACCGCATAATAGGCGTTCGGTCGACATCTTTGGGTCTCCTCAGCATTATAAGCAAAAATGCGACAAAGGCGTTCGGTGCATGATCTGCTCTTTTTCGTCTTCTGGCTTGAGTCTTCTAGTTGTAATGACCAGTCGTGCGTCACATGTCGGATCCTGTAGACAACATCAACGATTCAATACACAAACCATTGTCAATTCTCCACCAGCATTATGCATCTTCTTCCTTCTACATATCATCTATGCTTCTACTCGTGATGACATCTGGTCCCTTGATCCCGACTCGAGCCCAGCAACAAATCTGTGTCTAAGTTCCTGACTGACTACTCGCACATGACTGCTCTTGTCTCGACTCCCCTCATCATGCGCGTGCATCCGTCATGGCCGATATCCTTCAGATCTATCCCGAGACATCCGATTATACTGCGCTAGTCTCTTAATGTTTTCTCCGTTTGTCAGTAATTGCTGAGAGGACATCTGCGTTGTCGTACAAGTGGTAGGCAGTGTTCGATCTCGGAGGTACAAACGACCCGCGCGAAGGTTCTGCATCGAGAGAGCTTGGATATCCTCACGCAGCTTCCGGATTCTGAATGTACTGTATCGTATCCTTGAGGATATCTTGCCTGCGGTAATATAAGCATGGAGTGATCGATTCGGCAGCACTGTCTCGCTCGATCGAGCTTCAGTGTTGAAGTAACCTGTATAGCCTCAACCTATTTCCTTACGGCAATTGACATCTCACGAAGCCTCTCGGCTCTTCACGACGCACAAAAGATTCATAAGATGCTGACAAAGAGCTTTTCATTCATTCGCCGCGCCCTCTCCTCTCCAGAGGCTCAAACTCCACCCCTCCCTCCTAGAATCCTCTTCTCCCTCCTCCCCTCCACCCTCAAGCCCCATCTAGCAAGCTAATCAGCTACAATTCGTCATTCCGGCACCAACCAGAAGTACGCTTACTCTGGCGCGCCAGCTTCCACGCCTTGAACGCCGTCTGACGGCGAGCATGGACTCGGACGAGTTTCCACGCCTTCAACGCGCGCTGCCGGCGAGCATGCGTCTCTGCCAGCTTGAGTGCCGCCACCAGCGTGGCATCCACCGCCTTCTTCTCCTCTTGTGTCGGGTGAGCGACTCCAGTCCTCACCCAGAGCGCAAAGGTAGCCCTAGGAGTGGGCGCGGGGGCAGACGAGACGACGGTGGAGGTAGTGGGGGCGGACATGCTGGCGTTGTAGGCGCCTTGGTGATGTACTGAGGGGAAGTTTGTACGTTTGCAGTGTGATGAATGTGTGCAGGGTGGTACGTAGACGGTGGTGTTGTGTACAGAAAAGAGTATGGATGTATACAGGACGCGCTAAAACATTTGCTTCTAATTACACATGCCTGGCCCTCCTTCACCAACCTACCCAACTCTTGCTCATCACACGCCAAACACGTACTTCGCCAGACCGCAGATCCCCCATCTTGAAGCTCTCGGGCTTCACCTTCTTGTGCTCGCGACCCTGCTCCCAAACGCGCACTTTCTTCTTCGATCCGTCCCACTCTACTACTACGCCAACATGGTCCGGCTTACCTACATCGGTGCTGTATTTGGCGTGCATCGGACCAGTTTTGCCCTGAAACTTGGCGTTGCGGAAGGTCACAATGTCACCGGGGCGGATCTCGTCGTACGATTGCGTGGAAGCGTTGGCTAGGTTGGCATATACAAGGGCGCCAAATGCACGCGTCGAGACTGGCGGCAGTGCGTCTTGGTAAGGCTTGAGGAGCTCGTCAATAAGACCGTGTGGTGTGCCATTACCCACGACAGTGTTTTGCTTGCTCTCCACAGCCTTGGCGATCTGACGCCCGAACTGCTCGTATGCATTCTCAAGCTGATCGGGTCGCTGGCGTGGAGGCGGTTCCCTGTGCTGTTGCTCAAAATGGACATCAGACACATTCTGTGCATCGAACTGTACCGAGACGGTTGTCTGCGAGTAGTCCATATATAAGATGGAGATGACCTTCTCGACAGTGCTGCCAGACTGAGACTCCGATAGGTTGACTAGAACGTCTTTTCGGGTTTGCAGTGACGGCGGCAACAACTTGGGCTGTGTCCACCAGTGCGACGAAACTCCAAGATCGATATCACTTGCAATGAAGTCTTGACTCAGGACAGGACGCGCCTGGTCCACCGAGGTCCGGCTTCCTAAGGCACGATTGGCATCCAGCGACTTTCTTCCACCCAAGGACACACGAGGCGGGGCTTCAGCTGGTGGCGGAGGCGGGGCTTGACGTTCTTGAGGAGGTAATGGAGGAGGAGCTCGCTCTTGCGGAGGTGGTGGTGGAGGTGCGGCAGTTCCAGGGAGAGGGGGTGGTGCATGCTGATGCGGAGGTGCTTGAGGCGGTGGCGGCGGCGGTCGATCATGCGACTTCCGCGGTGGTGGCGCAGAGTACAAGTCATCCTCATCAGATGACTCCGCGGCTTGTTGCTGTGGCTGTGGGATAGGAGGAATAGACGGAGGCATAGGTGGTGGCGGACGGCTTTGCGGTGGAGGTGGTTGACTCTGAGGAGGAGGGGGCACTGCCCGTGGTGCCGGCGGCGGTATAGTAGGCTGGGAGACGTAGCTGTATGGGTCATAGTCGTCATCATCTTCATCCACAGGCCCTGTCATACTACGAGTTGGAGCAGGGACAGGGGGAACCGGTGGCGGTGCTCGTGGCGCATCGGTTGATTGACGACTCGGAGCCTGTTGCGGTGGAGGGGGAGGTACTGCACGAGGTCCAGATGGCGGCAACGGTGGGATACCATGAGGTGTCGTTGGTGACTGAGCTGATGAGGGCTCGTCAGCGATGGTACTCTCATCAACACTTTCGTCCCGCGCATGAGACTTCAGAGCGTCCTTGTGTGTTGCTCCAGATGCGATATCGGTATCGTAGTCGCCTTCGTAGTCAGTCTCACCCTCCATGCGGTCGACCTTGGTTGATGGCCCAGTTCCTTGTCGAGAAGGTGGCACTTGTGTTGGTGGAGGTGGCGGAGGGGGTCGGACAGCTGCTGGCGACGTCGGGCTTCCAAGTGGAAACGAAGAATGACGTCTATTAGACTGCTCGTTGGGCTGTTCATCCATGCCGAAGTAGGAACTTCGTTTTGGAGGTGGCGGGGCGAATCCAGTAGGGCTACGTGGTGACATGGGGTGAGCATCAGTCAACTCGTCGCCAGACTCGGAGCCAGGGCCAGGAGAGGCAATCTGAGGAAGTGGTGGTGGTACAGGCCGAGCTGTAAGATGTCAGTGATGAATGGATATCAAGCGTGATTGCCACTTACATGCAGCTGGAACTGGAGGCGGAACAGGCCGTCCTGTACTTGTCAATAATTGCCGTTGCGTAGTATGGGTAAAGAGGAATTCGAGCAACTCTGCCAAACATACTGGCTACGCTTACAGTCATGACATACTCCAACAGACCGTCTGACGCTGAGTACGTCTTTGTGACAATCTCCGAAGACGACAATTGAGAGCGTTCCAAAGTTTGGCGGCTAAGGCATTTGAGGGGTTTGCGAGGAATCATAAACTTACTGTCAGATGGAACTGGCGGCGGCCGCTCAGCAGTCGGTGTTTGCTGAGATGCTACATCTTCCACATCCGGAACCTCGTCGGCCGTGTGAGAGCCTGTGATTGGATGGGCTTGCTCGTCTTCCTTTTCCACAGCGAGCTGCCGATCCTCTTGTTCCGGACTCTTGACAGAGGGCATACCAGGCATAGGGAACATGGCCACTCGTTGCTGCGGGACCGAGCGCTCCTCGTCCTCTTCCAACTTCTTGTCTCCAGTCTTCTTCTTCTTTGGTGGAAGGCCGCCCATTGGCATAGCGCCGAACATGCCAGGCATGCCCATGCCTCCGCTCATCTTGGCCATACGCTCACGTAGCTCCAGCTTTCGCCTGGTCTCAGCATCCATTTCATCTTCTTCCTCTTCCTCCTCGACATCTTGTTCATCGCCAACATCCGGCTCCTGCGAGGGCGCAGCTGGTGCTCTAATGGGCAGAGGAGGATGTGCATGCTTCGCGCGATCCTCGTCATCCTCGACACTCGTCGATTCACCCCCAGCGTCTTCGGTGTTGTCTGCGCCTGATTGATCTGCATCATTCTCGCTGACAAGCTCGCGATCGTGATAAGAGTCCGGTGACCTGATATCGTGCGACGTTCGCGAGGGCCGTGGATGATCCATAGACTGACGCTGCTTAGAACCGGCGCTGGCAACCTGTTCTAAACCAATATCTTCGCTGTCTTCAGCAAGACCTTCGTGGGACTCTGTCCGTTGCTTGACTGGGGGTCGTTTTGGCTTGTCCTTGTGTATGGCAGCAGCAGCGCGCTCTGCCGATTCCTGCTGTTGCTTCTGCAAAAGCGCGATGCGCTCTTTAAGACTGATCTTTGGCTGATTGTCCTCCTCAGCCTCGGGCGCAGTTCCAGCGTCGTGGGGAGCAAGACCAGCTCTGTCTGCTGCATCCTGATCCTGCGCCTGGCGCTCTGCAATCTCGGGATCTTCGTCGCGGCGATACGCCTTGACTTGTGGGGCTTCCTTCGGCGGAGGCACGTAGGCGTTGCGACTTGGGGGAGGAGCTACGAATGGTCTCTTAATGAAGTTGGAGGGAGCACCTGCAGCTTTGAAGGGCTGGATGGGTGCCGCAGCGGGCGCATTGAAGGCGGCGATGCGGTCGCGGAAGGCATTGGACTTGGCTGCGACTGGGGGCGGGGCTTTCTTGGTCGCAGGAGTTGCTTTGACTGGTTCGTCTGCCACAGCGGGGAGCTCAGCAGATTTGGTGCTGGCAGCAGATGGCGGAGACATGGGCGACATTGGGGTGGGTTCTGCCTTGGCCGCAGGAGGAACTTGGACCGGAGGCGGCTGGGGCTTCGGGGGCTCTGCCTCGTCGCGCTGCACCGGTTTGGACTCTTGGGGTATCACAGGCGTGGGAGGCGCCTCTTCCTGTGCGGCAGGCTGCTCCAATGGCTTGTGTCGAGACACCCGGTTGGGCCGAGGCGGCGGTGCTGGCTCGTAGCGCTCGACAAAGTTCCTGGGGAAGAGGCCATCGTGCCTGGCGCCGGTGTCGTCCTGGTACTCGCCCACGTACCAGTCGTCCCCCTCTTCCTCGGTGACGCTGATGACCTGGCCCTGCTTGAAGTTGAGGTCGTCCTCGTGGGGCGACGAGTAGTCGTAGACGGCTTTGACTTTGAACATGGCGGGCGGCAATGGGGCAGATGCGCGACGGACCACGGCTGCGGGAAGCTGTGAGGGAGGTGCAGCTACAGCGGGCCCGGATGGAGCTGCAACAGCGTCTTGGGCGCGCGTGAAGGGTGGTGCGCGGCGGGATCGGTGGGAGCTAGCTGTGGCTGCCCGATGACGCAGACATCAGCTTCTGGGACAATGCGGGGCGCACGGAACAATCTGGCAGCTTACAATTCACTCCTGGCGACCATGCAGCTATCAGAGAGAGGCAGTAGAGAGAGGTCAAGGGCGGCGGGCGTGCTCTCGCTGGGGTGTGGGAGTCGTTACCGCGAGTGCAAAGCCACGCTCCTGCTAAAACCACGCGGGGCTCTTGGCGCTGCGATGCGGCTTTAGGCTCCACCCTGCAGCAGCAACCACGCATACACTGTACATTACGCACGACATGCCGCCCAAATCGATTCTCAAGAAGACCTCCGTGCCCGCAAACGCCGCACCCGGCGCAAAGCCCGCCAACCCGCGCCATCTCCAGGTCGCGCTCCACCATGCAAACATTCTGGAGGAGCGCAAGCGCGTCGAGGCCGAGGTGCTCGATGCCATCATGACGCTAATGGAATATCCAGCCGCGCCTGATGCAGATCCCAAACAGCCGTCTGCTGCCGACGCCCAATTCTTCCGCGACGCTGTTATTCCCTTCCAGCCCTCCGACTACGACTCTCTAATCGAGGAGCGCAACATCTACGGCAAGTGCGGGTACGCTCTTTGTCCACGCCCCACGAAGAAGGCGCGATCGACGGCGCGAAAGCAGTTCGTCGACACGCAGCATGGCGTCGAGATTGTCGACAGAAAGACGCTGGAGGTGTGGTGCTCTGATGATTGTGCGAAGCGGGCGCTCTACGTGAAGGTGCAGCTGAGCGAGGAGCCTGCGTGGATGCGCCAGGGCGGATATGCCGATAAAATCGAGCTCCTAGTCGACAACACCGCTGAGCACCAGATGACCCTCCCTTTGCGACCAAAGGAAGCCACGATCCCTGCGCCTGTCGAAGACGACGAGGACGATATTGCCGCAGCGTGGGCAGCCCGCGAGGATGCCATGGGTGACCTTGCCCTCGAGCGTGGCGAGAAGCCGGGTCAAGTGAGCAAGACCAACAACGATCTCGTGAAAGACCAGATCACAGAACGCTTGCCGACCAGCGCGCCACCGCAGCCGCCGTCGCTCTCCTCACAGATCTCGGAACACACTATGGCTATCGAGGGCCATGTTCCGCAGCTCGACAGGAGGGACAAGGACGACGAGGACGAGGACGATCCGCAGGACTGGGAAAAGCACCTGCCTGGATGAGTTATGCAATACCACCTACCTATGGGAGAATCAGATCAGAAGTCACATGAACCATGGAGGCTAGACGAGAACACGGATCGATCCAGCCTTGAAGAGCGAATCGATCCGTGTATTTGTGCCACCAAGTCCAGTCGAGTCGAGGCAATGCCAGACGAGATGCTCTTTAATCTTTGCTCAGTGCCAGGCTCTGTGCCACGACGATATCGGACCTCGGGAGGAGGAAAGGGCCCACGACGTCTGACCGCAGTGGATGACCAGCGTCTACGGGTAGGACAGGGAAAACGCGAAAGGATCGTTTGATAGTTATCTACGCATGGCTGTAGCTGCAATATATCCTTAGGGTAGACGGGCACAAGTAAAATCATTGATCGACCAAGTCACTCTAATTTTGTGCGACCTGGTGCGGTGTGTTCTGTTCTGTGAAGTGCGTGCAGCGAATCGACGCCCACGGAGGTCCGCGCACTAGCGTAATGTCAACTTCGAGATTTCGAGCCCATGGCAACATTCAGGTGCCAGAGCCAGCATCATCACGCCAGCTGCCCATTGCCGCACCGTACGCGGCTGTCGCATCACCGCTACCATGGCTCTCCGCCGCCAGTCGTCATCGCCCACCGCCAACCTCCTCCGCAATTCCCGCCTGTTTGCTCTCCCAAACCCTCTCCCACGCCCCAATGTGGGCCAGACCTACGGCGCGGGCGTTACCAGAGCCTCGGATACAGCCACTCTTCCCTATCCCACACATCAAGCCATTGCAACAACGAAGAGCTCGTTGGTTCGAGGCGACTGGGGGTTGAAGCGACCGCTGCCCGCGCGAAGTCGTCTGTTGCAGGTCAGCGATCCCGTGCTACGAGTGACGCAGCTGGACACCATTGAGCATGTCACCGACTTTGACTCCGCAGCCGACCATGTGCGGACAAGGCAAAAATTCGAAGAGCTCTCTGTGCCAATGATGAAGGGCATGTCGCAGATGAACGCCTATGACTTGTCAACTTTACAGCCACTCGGAGCTTTCGAAAAACGCGACGACACAACTTCTTACGATTCTGCTTTGGGCATGGACGAGGCTGGTTTATACCTGCAAGCTCTGAAGGAAAACACCAAGAAGACCGCAAAACGTTTCACCCCGTTCAAGCCGCCACCCGTTGATGTAGCCGTACACAACAGCAAGAGATGGAAGCACGATGGGCCCTGGCTGCCTGGCATGAATGCTGACGACTTCACCACGTATCTGAGCAGAGAAATCTCAAAACGGCGATCCGAGTTCAACACCTACCTCCGAGAATTTGTGAAGAACGAAATCTACACCACACGTGCTCTCGCCGCTTCCAGAGACGGTGAGATCGCCCCTATAGAGGCCGAAGAGGCCGAGAAATGGAAACAAGAGCGGTCAAAGCAATGGGCAAAAATCAGCGAAGACGACATTCAAACGGGCATCAAGTCCCTTCGTCGAGAAACAGCCAACAACCCTCTCGCCTCCAAACTTGTCACGAAGCTGATTCTTCCCTTCTTACGACTACCCACTATTAAGCTCAAGAACACCGCCTTCCGCGAGAATGCCTCGGGTCGCGATATCGAACAATACCAGTTTGACACGGAAACCGCGCCTCTATCTACTCACCCTTCTGCCGGTCTCGGTTACCTCCGAACACGCTCTTATATTGCCAACCACCCCATTCTCGGACCCCAATCATCGCCATCACCAGTGCCCGCGCGAGTAGTCCAGCCCCGGACATCCAAGGCTAGAGAAACTTACGCCAAACTCGGTGTCGGCGGCTTCGTGACAAACGACCAATACCGCAGCACTGACATATCTGTATCCAGAACCGCAAACAGCAACAATGCTCGGGATGTAGAGACGATCGACATCGACACTCCCGGCGGCAAGAAGGTCCTCGTGCAGCCACTGTTCGGTAGCGTCAGTAACGATGGCCGCATTCACATCAAGATTAAGCGTTCCGTTGGCCCTGAAGTTCAAGTTGCCCGCGGCGAGCTGGACGATAAGCCACCGGTCAGGGAAAACGCCATGGACGATAATGAAGTGCTCAAGGGCCTAGGGCGCAAGGATAGTGGGATCAAGGAGCTGGATGAACAGAGCGCCAAGGCCAGACAATTGAGCGACTTCTTGGGCGGCATGAGGCCTGAGAGCGGGGGAAAGGGTACGCCAGGACGAGGGTTCCCGGGAGTCGGGGACGCGTTGAGGTGATGATGTGTGGTTTGCATAGTGTATAGTATTGTACATGAGATTCACTTCTTTGCCATCTTGCAGACTACGACCTTTGCGCTGTGACTTGACCTTGAGCTTGGGGCGTTGGGTGAGTCATGGTGAACTCTACAACAGGTGTAGTCTTGAAACATTTCGATGAGGAGGTGAAGCGAGAATACTCTTTCTGTGAGTGACATTGCCAGGCGAAATGCCAAATGTCTCTCTTCTAGCCGACACTCGCTACATTCGCAGTGCATATTCCAAGACACGCGCACGCGTACAAAGACAGCCAGCAGCCACAGCCAACTAAAACTCGCTGATGCCGAGCCGACCTATACATACCCATCAATCGTGCCCACTCGCGCCCGCACCAAGCAAACACATGTCTGCCAACACGACACCAACAACCACCCACCTACTCCACATTCCACTCTATTCCTGGCTCTGCGATCTTGCTCGACCGCCCGACTGCAGCCTCAAACAAGTCTCACACTACTAACTCGGCACCCGATCATCGCTGCCGTTCCAAACATAACTCCAGCTCGACATGGACCCCGGCCGAAAAGCTTGTTTGGTCCTTCAATAGCGCTGCAATCGGTGAGGTGCGGGCGGTTAGTAGCGCGCGTGTTGGTACCGAGAAGATGGGAAGATCAGGTGAGTGAGACGGATGGGACATGGGGGCTGTGAGGGACTAAGGGAGTAGTACTGGTGAGACTTTGGTCGGGTGGGGAGATGTGTTGAATGTGTAAGCTCGCCTGGCGTACGTTCGGCATGTTGTCAGTGAGGGAAACGATCAGGCTGGAATGGCATGTAGCTCGAAGGTACACACACACACAGCCTGTCCCACTTCCGTCAAACATGGCGGATGTCATCGGATCCGCAAACCGCGGAGACCTGGTCAGCAATGCCCGACCGTCAGCTATCCGTTTCAAGAGCAGATGGTCGAGCACGCCGTATGGTGGCCGTAAGATGGCCGGTTTCATGTGGCATCGATGCGAGGCCATCATCTGACCTTGCCGACGGACGAGTAGGAATTGGACTTGACACGCAGTTGCCTGGACGCCGTCTCCAAGGCCAGGCAGCTGTTCGCAGTTAGTTTTTTTTCCTACCTTGGCGCTGTCAACGGAGCAACGTTCGCCAGTGGACAGGGCAATCGGGAGTCGGAATGTCTTGCATGTTTCTGCGTAGGAGGCTGTGCATTGTGAGCAACATATAGCGGCGCCTGGTGGTATAGGCGCGCCTGATCGTGGCGTCGAGGCTGGTGCGGCGTCAAAGGCCAAAATTGGGTCGGAAAAGTTGGACATTAGCCGGCAAATGTTCATCCTTTTGTGACGCAATCCAAAGGCTCCGAGGGAAGTTTGGAGGGAGGACTACGCGTTTTGGGGCCAAGACTTCGAGGCTGCGTGCCGTTCGTCGGACGCAGCGCTTCACCATGCGCGGTCTTGCTCCAACACGATTGACTCACCGCTTGTACTGGAGTCTCAAATTGCGTGTCCCGTCTCTTGCACTATCGGTCCAGTGATCAGTGAGGACTGGTGCCACAATGATAAAGAAAAGGTCAACTGTGGCTGCTGACAGTGTGGCTCAGCATCGCGCTTGCCCAAATGAGCGCCATTGAAAAGTGATTGCACCAGAAGGAGCGGTGTCGACACTCGCTAAGGACAATATGGCGCAAATTTCTTGCAACAATGCGAGATTGCAGCCCCCAAAGTATCAAGTAAGAGAAGATAGACGAGATTTACGTGGGCCGTGCGGCGGGCTGTGAATTGATGGAATCACTGGGGTGAGACTTGAGCAGTATGACGGAATTGCATCCAGCCACAGTCACTTGGAGGCGTTCGTGTGACTTGGAAGAAATGTCAAGGTGCGAAATGTGGTGGAAATGTCGGCGAAAAGTGTTGGCGATTGGGTACCGAAGTATGCCGGCGGCAAGTTAAGGAGTAATAAGGTGGGAAAGGGGCCGATAAAGCAGGCGCTGACAAAACCGCCTGGGGATGCCTGCCCACATCGAGTACGATTTTCGTGCCATGGTGTGGTGTTGGTCATGATGCAAAGCCGTGGTCTTTTCCGACTTTGGATGGCTCAAGGCAACAAGACGGCGGATTGCTCACGCGCTCAGCAAATCGCCCCTCAACGTCGGTCATCGCATGCAAGACGGTCATGGCAGCCTGGGGAACAACGGAAGAGTTGCCAAAGTGCAACTCTCAATTTGCCGAAATTCTGAAATTTCAGGAGCCGAGTAAGGACAGCATGCGAACGCTGCGGGTTTGGAGCTCGCGTGCATCTTGCGGGTGCATCCCGTACGGTAGCGTGCCGCCCGCATGGAGGCCCCACCAACTATTCGCACGGCCAAAAGACATCCACTCGTCCACCACACCTCCGAGCCAAAATGCAATATGGTCGGGCATTGGGCGCCGACCAGCAAATCGCCAGGCTTTCGTGCCTGGCGTGAGCGACATGCTGCCAGGCCGGTCAAGAGTCGCTGCACTTGCTGCATAGCCCCCACCGCCATCGTCCAGTCGACGCAGAGCTGAAAGTGCGCCGGGGAGTCGAAACGCACATTCCTGATGACTGTCCGTCAGCAACAAAGCAAGTACCTCTGTCGTGCCCAAGCATGTCGCCGTCGCCGAGCGCAAACATTGCCGGCGGAAGTGAGGTGCAAATGGAGAGTAGGGAGTGCTCGAGCGTCGGCTCCTGGTGATTGCTGCCCATCGAGTCCACAGCTGAGACATTTCTTCCGGCCGCTGCGGTAAAACATTCAGGATTTGCGACGCGAAGCTTCCATTGTTCGTCCCAATCGCAGCGATTCCACACCCTCGTCATCATCCTCAGGCTCACGACACCGGTCGCCCGCAGGGGTGGGCCGTGGCTTGGTCGTTTCCCATCCGCCTGTGCAGGCTGTGCTTTCACCGCAGCGCTCCATCTTAAGGTGGGCCCGGGACGCCCCAACTCTCGTTCATGCTAAGCTCATCCTCGCGGCCTAGCTTTTGTTCTTCTCGGCGCAGGTATACTTGCTCCATCTTTGTATTCCCCCGGTCTCCTTAGCTCGGTGCATTTTCAGGCTACAATCTACGCCGCATTCCACTTAAATCACCCCTTCGCCCAGTAGGGCTACGCTTTGCTGCTCGACTCTGCATACCATCCTGCAGGCAACTACTGCACATCATATCCTTTATTTACGTCCCTTCGCCTCTCTCACTCTTGCTTTTTGAACACGCCTCGTTCCCACGGACTTGTCTCAGTTGTGTCATCACCTGCACCTTCAAATATTTCCAGTCCTCAAATCCCAAACAAGCATCGGTACCAAGAGTCAAAAAAGCACAAAAACTCCACCAAATCATCCAGCCTCGAAAACAAAACATCGGATCGCAATCTCAGAAAGTTCCTTGCACCACTACCGGCACTGTGAACTTTGCCTATTCTCCGACCGGGACTTGGCTTCGGATAAGCTGATTCGACAATCTCAACACCACTTTTTGACGACCAGCCCAACCACTGTACTGGTTGAGGCGTGGTATTTGCATCGTCAGCTCTTTCACAAATCCGCACTTCATACTTCTCTCGCTCAAGGTTGCCTACCATGTGCAGAGTAGAAGAGCGCATCTACATCACCGCGGAAGGCCATCGTTCGAAATTCGAAGAGGCCTTCCCGTGTGAGAAAGCTCGCAAAAACAGACTATGCGCGAATGTGCGTACGAGGACTACCGAGTACTATCCAAAGAGAGGTACCAACCTAAGGGACAGCACGCCGTCTCCAATCGGCCCACCTACACCAACCGGATCAGGGTCGTATATTGTGCAGCCGCGTAGACCCTCATCGTCTGGAGGAGAACGGCCATCCACACGCGACGGGCCTAAGATCAAACCGGAAATCATTATCAACTTCAGTGGCCAGAACAAAAAGGGCAAGAGATATGTCCACGTGTCCACAGGTTCATACAAGCGGAGCTCCGATGAGATAGCTATCGAGTCTCCTGACTCAGACGCTTCTCACACCATCCGCACTGGCTATCCAGAAGCTTTATTGCCACCACAAGCCACTATCTACGGTCATCCCGATGTCTATGGCACAGCGCCAACACATGGCTACCATCATCGCCACACATCTTCGACCGCCTCCTATACGGGCTCTAGTCAAACACCCTCCCTGTTGGTTACTTCAGATGTTGACTATGACTCACCGACTACCACGCGAGCTGCACGATTACAACCCGCCATACATTACTCGTCTGCTACTAGTGCTCCTCTCTCTCCAAGCAGATCCCGCAATCATGAACGGGCATCGTCGAACGATTACAATTTGTCAGTCGTTACCCCACGTGACGACTACTACGACCTTGCGGATCGGTCGGCATCTTCGCATGCTAGCTCCGGCGCATCCGGTAGCTCACGACGAAGGAAGGATCATGATGCAGCGCGGAAGCGCAAAGAAGAGGAAGAAGAGAACGTCAAGCAGGTTCGCTTTGACCTTGGTCGAACGGAGGCTCGTGCCAACGAGAGGGCAGAGTCTCAGCTGGCTGAGAAGGAGAAGGACCGCGCTGTCGCCAGAGAAGAGGCTCGTCGCCACAAGAAGAAGGACCATGAAGCAGAAACAACCAAGGCCCGTAAGAAGGAGGAGGCAAAACCTGCACCAAGTACTAGCAGCATGAAGGCGCACACTGGATCTCGCAAAGGCTCTGTCTCGATGACCCCCTCCCAACAAAAAGAACAGCGGCGCCTTCTCGCAGCTGAGCTCGACCACATGCAGGTCGAGAGTAGAGCAGCAGAAGAGCGCGAGCGAGAAGAAAGAGCTACATCATTGCGCCAACAGCAACAAGATCCCAGCTACTACAACCCTCGCGCTGGGCCTATGCCGAACAGCGCTTCTACTATGACTCGTCATAACTCAACGTCGCGACGAGACAGCTTCACGTCTGAGACTCGACCGGTCATGGGTCGCTCGAACAGTCGGCGTACAAGCATCAGTCAATCCAAACCGCCAATGATCAACACCCAGGTGGCGCCTAGCTACACGCAACCACCCAGCACGCGTGTACATGCACCACCACCAGTCTCGTTTCCGGCCAACTTCAACACTCGCCCGACATCCGCCCGTCGCTCTTCGTTGTCATCACAAGAGAACCCTTTCCTTGCGCAAACTCGCCCTCCTGGCGCAAGCCTCGAGAACCCATTTGCAACCACACCTTCGGTCATGTCACCAACGATACACCAGGACCCTTGGGATGCGCGCAACGTCCGCGAGGCCCTACCGACGCTACGTCAATCTGCTGATACACGCTACTCCAGCAGTTCGGGTGGGCACACTGCTGCTCGTGAAGCTTCTCGAGCCATGGCAAGAGCTACAAGTGCAAGGGATGACTACGCAGCCGAATCCGACGACGATATGACGCATGGCCACACTCGTAGACGACGCTGATTGTAGCGTTTTCATTTCCTATTTTCTTTCCGGTTGTGGCTTCGTGGAGTTGGGTATGCCATTGTTCGTTGTACATCTCTCGTTTTGCCCTCCCCTTCAACAGCCTTTGATACCCCCTTCGCACTGCTTTATATATCATCATAGACATACCCCTGCATCGCTGCGCATGTAGACTCAAAAAGCGATATCATTCTGTATTCATTCACATTACTTTATACACTTGAGTGTGCTGTGACGTCTATTCTTGGTCCAATTCTTTAACTTGCTGTCTGTTGTGTTCCTTCGAACCGTACAGCATTGTCCCAACCGGTCCGGAACCCTAGATGCCCTTCCATGTCTTACTCCACGACTCTAGAAATGACGAATGTTTGTCCGAGTTTCTTTGTTTGGGGTTGTCTCGGCAGGACGATAGCAAGCAATATTGAGCCTTATAACACTGCTTGACGAGAGAATGAGATAATTGCTCTGCATCACACAACGTCCTACGCCTTCCCATCACAAAAACGCTGATATCAACACAATCGAACCAAGGATGACATCGCAGACCAGGACCAAACGCAGAATGCCAGCCAACTCGCAGGAGAAGACCAAACGGCGGACTGGACAGAACGTCATGCCGAAAATACCCAAACCGGCTAGACCTAAGACGAAGACGGAGGCCGTGCACGCAGCGCGACGGGTTCTTGCTCAACGCAAAGTGGGGGAGAAGCAGGAATACCTCGTCGACTGGTACCCTACCTGGCAGCCGAAGCATCACGTCCCCAACGGTAAGATGCTGCGCGAGTGGGAGAACAACATGGCCAAAGGGCATACCTTCAAGATGAGCGCCAACCTTACAGTATACAAGTGCTCGAATCCAACTGAGGACAACTCCGCCCGTCAAATGCGCCTCATGCTGGACACGGCCCTCAACTCTCTACAACAGTGGCTTGACCGACCAAAGAAGCTAATGTCCACTGACCTGTTCAAGCGGGGAGCCTGGACCTTCAGCACCATTGAGGACTCCCAACTCGCCGCAAAACAGGCGGCTCGGAAGGGAGACGACCCGCCCTCTGCAGCGAAAGTCATGCGCGATACCTACATTTCGATGCGCGGTCCAAGTCACGAGAGTATCGAAGACAAGAACCTCATCTACAAGGACGTTTACGTTCGTTATCTTGGTCAAGTCGACAAAGACACGCCTGGCGCAAAACCTGCGAACCGCGGATCTGGACGCACAGTAGCCTACATTCAGCACATGTTTGAGCCAATGCTCCGCGAAATGGTACCGGAAACCTGGAAAGGTAACGAACAGCTCCACACACAGCTCTCCCAGCTATACGAGATCGCGACGCGCTTCGTGACCAAGTCCGCGTTCCTCCTAAATCACGTCTGGCCTCTCTTCTTCGTACGCCTCTTCTTCACCTCAGACCAACTCGTCAAGGCCTTCAACAACCCCAACAACCCCATGTGGACCTTCAAGATATCGGATGGCTGGGAGAACCGCACCCGTGACTACTTCCTGCAGACTTACATCGCCGCCAACGACTGGGAGCAGCGCCCTGTCGACTGCGTCGAGCGTACCTATCTCGAGCTACGCGATCTGGTGAAATGGCACGTCAAGTTCCGTAATGTAGATGACGAGGGCCTAGGTCAAGAACAAGAGCCGGCAGAGTCGTCGGACTCGGAAGATGAAGGGTTGGCCGATTTGCGGCACGATGATGCAAGCGATGCAGACTACCAGGAAGGCCAGGTTGATGTGGACGGTGAAGGTAGCGTGGTTGGAGCCAGCGAGGATGACTCCCAAGGGGAGGATATGGATCTGGAAGATTAGTTCTTGGCTTAGCACCGCGGAGCAGTTTCTGCTATGGAGGAAAAGAGCATCTGAATCATATGCGAGGCTGGATTGATACACAATTGCTGCAATAAAGACCCTGGCCTATGAACAGAAAGTGAGCCTGATGCTGCTAGTATGTGAAGAACCCACTCAAAAATTCCTAACTTCTCGACATCTCGGAACGCGCAAGTCGTCTGCACAAAGTACTGAAATGTGGCTATGACTCTCAGCAGTACCTGTTGAGTGGTCCAAAAGAGAAACGATCCAAATTGATCCGTCTCCAAGGACCTCCAGAGGTGAGACAGCGTTCATCCAAAACTTGGCTGTGCGTTGTACAGCAAACATGTATGGTACCAGTGACTTCTGTCTTATTCACGAACTTGACAAACATGTTCAGTTCCAGAACAGACAAACAGAACGAGGCAATACTAAAATCTATCTAAAACCAGAATGAGATGTGATATATATCAAGTATTCTACTCCTCTCTGAGAGGACCAGTACCCGCAAACATAAACCCGAATTCGATCGCAGCCACGACTCCATCATGTCCGACCCATTGGAATTGCCCGAAGATCTCAAGCATGACAGATCCATTATCTTCGTCGATGAAATGATCACGAAGCCCGACCCAACCCGTCGAGAGACTTCTAGTACTGCGTCAGTGCAGACGAGCGATTCCAGCGAAGCCCGAGAAGCCCGACTCCAACGGAGACTAGAGAATCGCCCCACCACAGACCTAAACGAGGACGAGCATTACTATTCCGTGGATAACGAGACCGAACATTCACCAGAATCTCCTACCAAGGACAGGAACGCCCAGTCGGTGCACCCTCTGACATACAAGAAGCCCAGCAAGAAGGCGCGTGCTCCTCGCAAGTACGTCAAAAGCAACACCAGACCCCGCAATGAAGCCTTCTTCAACGCACGCCTGGACAATCCAGTCACAGATGACGACGAATCGCTGTCTGGATTCAGGAGCAAACGTGAAAGCTCTGAGTCTACTGAGGAGGGGTCTCAACTGTCCCGGATTCCATGGTCTTCTGGAAGCAGTGTGGTCGGCAAGATGGAGGGGCTGATGATATGTCCTTCGGGGCTATGTGAGAAGGAAGTGATTGAGTATGCTGGGGGAGACAGGAGGCCCTTCACATCGATGAAAGTACGTGGGTGTGCCGTCACCAAGCCTCCTTTTCAGACACCTGATTCGATTTGGAGGAAGAGACAACAGGCGCCCAAAGACGTTGTTGGTCAGATGACTGCGAAAAAAGCTCCAAGTATTCCGCTGATCTCTGCAGCGGGGGCGACTGGGGAAAGTGTCTCTTTGACGCTCCAACGGAACGAGTCCTCGCTACCAAATCGTATCCAGGAAGCTCCGATGCATGCCATTATGCCATCAGCTCTCACAGCTGCCAGCGGTTCTCCCGAAAGCAATCAATCCTGTGGACCAACACTCGACGAAAGAGCCTACGACATGCTCAAATACTTAATAAGTCTTGCCTGCCAGCCAAACGAATGGGTAGACTTCCTCGGGCCTAACGACTACGAGATCACCAGCGGCGAGGAGACAGTACGTTCCGCAGGCCATAGGAATGCAGAGAGCTTCATGCGAGCCGCACTGTACAAGATCGATGACGAGTTGAGCCGCACGTATATCCAGCGTAACACCAACTACCAGAACGTCACCGTCATTCTTCACGCGCATGATGTACCGCGCCCTACCCGTGTCGCCGTTGTCTGGAAGCCCTTCTCGGATCTCCATGAGATATCACGGAAGCCACACACATCCGTGGTTCATTACGCACAAGAGCTTCAACATCTCTGGAAGAACATAGTCAAGCTCGCCCCTCATCTAAGCCTCGCTGTCACCCCCGACCGCGGCATCATGCCCCCTCCTCCACGCAGTATCAGCTTCGTATTCTTCCTCGCCGTCACATGCGCACCGCAGGCTGAACTCCAGAGAGTCTTGGAGTACTTGGCCCCTCAAAGCGACAAATTCAACGCGGTCCAGGACTGCATTCCAGATGGACTCAAGGCGCTGCGACACGAACATCCTGTGTACAAGGGGATGAGCACGTTGGAGCTCACTGCGATCTGGGCGCGCCTGAATAATATGCTGGCGGCGGGTCAGGATTGGAGTGATGGTAGAGGTGGGAGTGGAGATACATGGGCGACAGCTCAAGAGAGTGGACGTACGAGTGAGTCTCAGCGGGCCACGACCTCGCCTGACCGACTTGGGAAGAAGAGGAAAGCGGATGAGCTTGAAGCGGGTGGAATGAGGAGCAGGGTGGGGAAGACTTAGTGCGAAGTCAGGACTTGAGACTGCTTCTACTTTGGATTGCTTCTTTGGGTATCTGGGAGTGCTTTTGCTGATTTATGTACACTGATAGCTTGCATGGAGTTTTGGAACAATTCTTGATCAAGTGTCTTGGAAGCTATAAGCATTTAACTTGCTGCCGGCCTGACACGTGTTACTATATGGAGATGTTGTGCTTCTCTCTGCACGGACAAGAAAGTCTTGTCCGTACCGTTGGTAGTATCTCTTGTGCTTGCATCCCTTCACTTATCCTCCGTCTTGAAAATGCTCGTTCTGTACTTGAACCAGCAAACTCTGACAACTACGATACTGGAGCATGTCGTACCCATTAACACAAATTCTCTGTCGGAGACGTCGCGCCAATTACTTCCTTCCAATGCCATTCATCGAGCGCGACATAGGCTCGCAAAACAGCTGTATGCTCGATTACGACGATGATCTCACAGAGAGCAAATGACCAAGCATCTTGGACGAACGTCCACCTACTGGAAAACTATTGCTTTGCGGATAGGATGAGCGACCGGTATTAGAAAATCCACAAAAGCCATCGAGTTAGCGCTCGTCTGACCCATCAGAGCCAAGATGTGCAGAAAGACCTGAA